CAGCAAGCCGCTGCTGCTGTCGCTCGACAGAGCAGCAAAAGCTCTCGCCAGACTTTCTGTCGAAGAAGCTCTTCGAGGAGTTGCACTTTCTGCAGAGTGGACTTCTGCAAAAAGAGACACTTTTCCCTGTCTCCTCTACGCGGCCTGCAGCGAGAAACTCAACGCGGCGTCAGTCCTGCTGCTGCTGCTGCTGCTCCTGCTGCTGCTGCTGCTGCTGCTTTTGCTGCTGCTGCTGCTTTTTGTCTCGGGAGCGCCTCTGAAGGCGCGTGCCGCTGCTAGCTGCTGCTGCTGCTGCTGCTGCATATTCTGCGCGTCGCTACCGCTCCAGTTGTCGCGCTGACCCGCTGCTGCTGCTGCTGCTGCTGCTGCTGCCAATTCCGGGCTCCGCCCCCCCGCGAGGCGCCGTCCTCACCCGCTGCTGCTGCTGCTGCTGCTGCTGCTGCTGCTGCGCAGGGAGCAGCCGCTGCTGGAGGAGGGGATAGCGCTGAGTCTGCATGCGCTGCAGCAAGTGCCGCGGCTGTTTCTGCTGGTGAGGGGCTCCCGCGTCTCCAGGGGGCTGCATGCGCATGCACGTTTGGGGCTTTCGGACTCCGCGGGTTTGGGAGAACTCGAGGGTTTTTTTTCCATCAAAGAAACCCTCGAGTTCTCCCAAACCCTCAGCAGCCGCGGCTTCTTCTTCAACGCACTCAGGGTTTACTGAAGCCCCACGCTCCCCCGCATGCATGCACGCATGCATGCATGCATGCATGCATGCATGCATGCATGCGTGCATGCATGCATGCGTGCATGCATGCGTGCATGCATGCGTGCATGCGCAAGTCCAGGCATGCATGCGTGCGTGCATGCGGGCACTGCTGCATGCGTGCATGCGCTGCTGCATGCATGCATGGGTGCGCGCATGCAGCAGTGCATGCGCAAATGCATGCATGCATGCATGCATGCATGCATGCATGCAGCTTCCGCGGAGGCCCGCCAGCAGCTGCCGTGCATGCAGACGCATGCGTGTGGGCAGCACCCGCTGGCCTGTTTGCAGTCCAAAGTGTGGGGTGCGTGCATGCACGCATGCATTATTTGCACGCATGCATGCACGCATGCATGCACGCATGCATGCATGCATGCATGCATGCATGCATGCATGCATGCAGGTGTTTGTCTGCAGCTGCAGCTGTGGGGCTGCGCAGCAGCGCAGCTCGTTTGTATGCTTTTTCGAGTCGCTGCTGGCTCTAGCAGCAAGCAATGCAGCGCTGGAGCGCTGCAGCAACAGCGCTGCAGCAGCAGCAGCAGCTGCTGCTGCAGCAGCAGCAGCAGCAGCTGCTGCTGTTGCTCCTGCTGCGCCAGCCACAACGTGCGCAGCAGACGCAGAAGGTGCGCAGCAGCTGGAGAGCCTGGTGCTGTCACTGCAACAGGTGCTGCAGCAGCGGGAGGGGCACCTGCTGAGGCAGCAGCAGCAGCTGCTGCTGCTGCTGCAGCTGAGGTTTTCAGCTATGGGCAGTGACTGGGCTCGCATTGGATGCTGCTGGGCTCTGCGAAGCAGCAGCAGCAGCAGCAGCAGCAGCAGCAGCAACAGCAGATGGAACTTCAGTTTTTCGTTTCCTGCTTTTTCTTTGCCTCTTTGCGTCGCTTGGGGTTTGGGGTGTACGTACACCTCACGCGACCAGCAGAGGGAGCTGCCAAAGGTAGCCTGCGGCAGCAGCAGCAGCGGCCTTGCTGCAGCAGCAGCGGCGTTGCTGCAGCAGCAGCAGCCTTGCTGCAGCCGCAGCGGCGTTGCTGCAGCAGCAGCGGCCTTGCTGCAGCCGCAGCGGCCTTGCTGCAGCCGCAGCGGCCTTGCTGCAGCCGCAGCGGCCTTGCTGCAGCAGGAGCGGCGCTGCTGCAGCAGGAGCGGCGCTGCTGCAGCAGCAGCAGCGTTGCAGCAGCAGCAGCTGCTGCTGCTGCAGGTGCTGCTCAAAGCCGCACGTGGAGAGCTTTTTAAGAGCTGCAGCAGCAACCGAGTTGGGCTGCAGCGACACAATGCCCTCTCCCCAGCCCGCTGCTGCAGCGGCAGCAGCAGCAGCAGCAGCAGCAGCAGCAGCAGCAGCAGCAGGGCCTCGAAGGCCCTGTGTTTTTCAATTTTTTCTCCAAGACGCTCTTTGGCGCTGCGCTGCTGCCGGCGTTTGTCTTAACTTTTCTTTTTGCAGCTGCATGCAAAAGTGTCTTTTCTTCTTTTTGCAAATGCATGCAAAAAGTCTTTTCTTTCTTTTGCAAATGCATGCAAAAGCTTTTAATAAATCATTTTAATCCTTTTGAACTCCGTAGAGTCAAATGGCATTTTAAATAAAAGTACTTTCGGAGAAAAGTCGCAGAAATTCGGGTGTACAGACAGCTGAAGGCGCATGCATGCAGATTTATTTGCACTTAAATGAAACACTTTATTAAATAAAATATATTATTTGCATTTATTAAATAAATGCAAATAATATATTTTATTTTGTTTTTAAATAATATATTTATAAATATTTAAATGCATTTTAATTTTATTTATAAAATGTTTAAATGCCAAATTGCATGCACATTTGCCATTTTATTTTATTTTATTCTTTTGCTTTTATTCATTTAATGTGTTTGTTTATAATTTCATTTTTCATTTATTCATTCGAGGCTTCAGGGTTTAGGGTTTAGGGTCTAGGGTTTGGGGTTTAGGGTTTAGGGTTTAGGGTTTAAACTTTGAAGTGAGAGTTGTGTGCTCCCCAATTTGTTTAAAAAAATGAGTCAAAATGCAGCGGCGGTTGCGCTGGATTGCTGCTGCTGCTGCTGCTGCTGCAGTTGTTTCTGCTGCTGCTGCTGCTGCTGCTGCTGCTGCAGTTGTTTCTGCTGCTGCTGCTGCTGCTGCTGCTACCGCACCTGCTGCAGCTCTTCCAGTTGCAGCAGCTGCGCTGCAGCTGCTGCCCGCGCGCATATTTCTGCTGCAGCAGGTGCTGCAGAAACTAAAGTTGCTGCTGCTGCTGCTGCTCCTCGTTCTGCTCCTGTTGCTCCTCTTGCTGCTCTTGCTGCTCCTGCTGCTCCTGCTGCTGCTCCTGCTGCTGCTGCTGCTGCTGCATCGCCTGCTCTATCTCTTCCCTTAACTCGAGATCTGCTGCAGCAACTTCCTGCTGCAGCTGCTGCAGCTGCTGCAGCTGCTGCAGCTGCTGCAGCTCAGGTGTCTCTTCGTGGTTGTGGGGCCGCCGAAGGAGACAGGCAGCAGCTTGGCGGGCCACGAAGTCTGAGCGCAGCAGCAGCAGCATCAGCTGCTGCTGCCGCTGCTGCTGCTGCTGCTGCTGCTCCTCTTCTTGCTCCTTCTGCTCCTCCTGCTGCTGCCACAGTTGCTGCCGCTGCTGCTGCTCCTTCACACGCCCTTGCTGCTCCTGCTGCTGCTCCTCCTGCTGCTGCTCCTCGTTTTGCTGCTCCTCACACTGCCCCTGCTGCTGCTGCTGCTGCTGCTGCTGCAGCTGCTTGAAGCCTTCCCTAATGGAAGACACTGCAGCAGCAAACTGCTGCAGCGCAGCAACAAGATTTCCTTCTTCTGCTTCGAGCAGCCCCAGCAGCGTCTGCTGCGTCATTTCAGCATCTGCAGACAAACCCTAAACCCTAAACCCTAAACCCTAAACCCTAAACCCTAAACCGTAAACCCTGGCCTAGCAGGAAGCAGCACAATCCAGAAGGACTATAAGGAGAATGCTGCTCAAGGCCTCACAAATTCAACTCTAGGGTTTAGGGTTTAGCGTCTAGGGTTTAGGGTTTAGGGTTTAGGGTTTCGCGGGCTGACCAATGTCCGCTGGAGCATTCATAAGCACGAGCGCCCGCGCTGTCTCAAGAGGTCGGAGCCACTGCTGCTGCTGCTGCTGCTGCTGCTGCTGCTGCTGCTGCTGCTGCTCTTGGCGCTGCTCCTGGTGCTGCTGCAGCAGCGCAGCAGCAAGCCGCAGCGTGAGCCCCCCGTACCAGGTGCATGCAAGACCTGCTGCTGCTGCTGCTTCTCTGGGGGAGCTGCTTTCTGCTGCAGCAGCAGAAGGCGCTGCTGCTGCGGCTTCTGCTGCTGCTGCGTCCCCCCCCGCAGCAGCAGCAGCAGCAGCAGCAGCAGCAGCAGCAGCAAAGGGGGGAGGCGGCCAAAAGGAGTCCCGAAATATAATGCTGCTGTGGCTCGCCAACACATTTGCTGCTCGCAGTTCGCCCCGTATGAAGCAGCGGCAGCAAACTGCTGCTTGGCGGTTTTGCTGCAGCAGCAAAGAAGCAAGACAGAGGAAGCCCCAGGGTTCAGCTCTGCTGGGGTTTAGTCGGTTTGCTGCTGCTGCTGCTTGCAGCGCCTGCTGCAGCAGCTGCTGCTCCTTCTCCCGCTGCTGCTGCTGCTGCCGCTGCTGCCGCTCCCGCTGCTGCTGCTCCTCCTCCTCCCGCTGCTGCTGCTGCTCCTCCTCCTCCAGCAGCGCTGCAGCTCTGCTCAAGCTGCTGAAGGTTTGCTTCTGCAGCTGCTGCTGTTGCTGCTGCTGCTGCTGCAGCAGCTGCTGCTGCTGCTGCTGCTGGTGCAGCAGCAGCAAACAAGCTGACAAACCCAGCCAGCCTTCAGCAGTCTCGCAGAGGGACAGCGACTTGGAAAAGTATTCGCAGCCAATAGACCCCCGGCTGCGCAGCAGCAACAAACCCTAAACCCTAAACCCTAAACCCTAAACCCTAAACCCTAGTCCCGTGTGTACCTAGTGCTGCAGCAGCATCTCTCGGGCGCAAGGAGAGACAGCAAAAGATGCAAGGAGGCATTAAGTAAAACCCCAGACCTTAGGGTTTAGGGTTTAGGGTTTTCTGTAGCTTCAGAATCCAGGTTTTAGGGTTTAGGGTGAGGCTCAGGGTTTAGGGTTTAGGGTTTAGGATTTAGGGTTTTGGACGGCGCAGGCCCTAAGCTTCAAAGCCTGGGGCAGAAACTCCGGGGCTAGGGTTTTGCTTCTGGAAGTGGTGGGTAGCTGCCACCACCTAGGGTTTAGGGTTTAGGGTTTAGGGTTTAGGGTTTAGGGTTTAGGGTTTACTCGAGTTGAAAGGCGACTTGTCCGCAGCGGAGGTAAAGAGCAGCGTCTGTGGAAGGGAGAGAAGTTTGGAGACTTTTTTGAAATAAATAAAAAGCTTTGAGGGTTTGTTTTGCTGCTGCTGCTGCTGCTGCTGCTAAAGACAAAGAAAAGGGACATGTGGGGCCCCGCAGCAGCAGCGCAGCAGCAGCAGCAGCAGCCGCCCCCTCAGCTGTACGTACACCCAAACGCCAGCAGCAGCAGCAGACGCAGCAGCTCCAAACAAAACCAAAAAGATAATTAAAAGATATTTGAAATGTAATTAAAAATAGAATTAAAAAACCTTTAAATTATAATTATAAATGTAATTGAAAAGATATTTAAATCTATTTTAAAGATCATTAAAAATATAACTAAAAATATATCTAAAACATAACTAAACATATAACCAAAAGTGTATTTAAAAAGTAATTAAAGAGATAATTAAAAAGATGTTTAAAAGATAATTAAAAAGATAATTAAATATTTAATTAAAAGGATGTTTAAAAAGTAATTAAAAATAATTAAAGGATAGCTGAAAAGATAATTAAAAGGATAATTTTGAAAATAATTAAAAGAGGAATTAGACAGATAAATAAAAAGATAGGAAAGCAGATTAAAATAAAATAAAAAATAAGAAAGAAATGAAATGAAAAATAAAAATAAATAAATAAAAAATAAAAAAGAAATAAAATGTAAAATAAAAAGAATAAAAAAGAAAAAAGAAATAAAAAGAAACAAAAAAGGAATAAAAAAGGAATAAAAAAGGAATAAAAGGAAATAAAAAGGAAACAAAAAAGAAATAAAAAGGAAATAAAAAGGAAATAAAAAGAAATAACTAAATTAAAAAAATATTAGGAGAAAAGAGAAACAGAGATAAAAGGACAGCAATAAAGATAAAGTGCTGCACCAGATGAATACATAACAAATAAATAAATAAATAAATAAATAAATAAATAAATAAATAAATAAATAAACAAATAAATAAATAAATAAATAAATAAATAAATAAATAAATAAATAAATAAATAAATAAATAAATAAATAAATAAATAAATAAAT